AATCACACTGTCCCAAAATGGATGGAAGACCTAAATGTGAGACAGGAATATATCAAAATCCTAGAGGAGTACATAGGCAGCAACCTCTTTGACCTTGACCACAGCAATTTCTTGCTAGACAGGTCTCCAAAGCCAAGAGAAACAAAGTAAAAAATGAACTATTGGGACTTCATCAAGATAAAATACTTCTGCACAGCAAAGGAAATAGTCAGCAAAATGAAAGACAACCAACAGAATGGGAGAAGGTATTTGCAAATGTTTTATAAGATAAAGGGCTAGTATCCAAAACCTATAAAGAACTTATCAAACTAAACACCCAAAGGACAAATAATCCAATTGTGAAATGGGCAGAAGACATGAACAGACATGTTTTCTCCAAGGAAGACATCCAAACACATGAAAAAATGCTCAACATCACTTGGCATCGGGAAATACAAATCGAAATCATGAGACTTCACACTGGTCAGGATGGCTAAAATTAACAAGTCAGGAAAAGAGAGATGTTGGCAAGGATGTGGAGAAAGGAGAACTCTCATATACTGTTGGTGGGAATGCAAGCTGGTGCAGCCACTCTAGAAAAAAGTATGGAGGTACCTCAAAAAGTTAAAAATAGAGCTACCCTACGACCCAGCAATTGTACTACTAGGTATTTACTTGAAAGATACAAATGTAGTGAAGGGGCACCTGCATCCCAATGTTTATAGCAGCAATGTCTGCAATAGCCAAACTATGGAAAGAGCCCAGATGTCCATCCACAGATGAATGGATAAAAAGAAAATGTAGTGAATATATATACAATGGAATACTGCTCATACATCAAATAAATGAAACCTTGCAATGATGTGGATGGAACTAAAGGGTATTATTATGCTAAGTGAAATAAGTCAATCAGAGAAAGACAACTATATTATCTCACTCATGTGTGGAATTTAAGAAACAAAACAGAAGATCATATGGGAATGGAGGGAAAATAAAACAAGAAATCAGAAGAGACAAACACCATAAGATACTCTTAATCATAGGAAACAAGCAGGGTTGCTAGAGAGGAGAGGTTTAGGAGGATGGGGTAACTGGATGATGGACATTCAGGAAGGTACATGATGTAATGAGCATTGGGTATTATATAAGACAGATGAATCACTGAACTCTACCTCTGAAACTAATAATACATTACATGTTAACTAACTGAATTTAAATTTAAAAAGGATAAAAAACTCATTGCCCTTGGGAGGACCCTGAATTCTCTCCCAGTGATGTTTGCCAGGGTCAGAACCACGTGTCTGCTTGCCCTCTGGGATTCTGGCCCATAGGAGGATTGTTTAAAAGGTCTGACTGGGCAGAAGGAAGAACCTTGTTTTTCTTTCTTTCATCACTTGGGAATTAGCTTGATAAGAATCTCAAGCATACCAATGCTGCCCTCACCCTTCTATTAAGGGGCACACCTAAGGCAGGAATCCATAGCAAGCTTGAATCCTGGAGCAGGCAGGATGGTGAGGAAGTGTTTGGGCAGGTGAGAACAGAATCCAGGAATGCATGGGCTGTGTGCAGACTGGATTCAGCCAAGTAAAGACCCTCCAATCACCTTCCAACTGATCCATTTGTCTAGAAGCTTATTAACAAAGACCTCACTTGAGTCCAGATATGATCCACACATCAAACTTGTATCCTGGCCATTCACCATGGACCAGTTTCTTGAGTATCCAAATCACAGCACCTAAGGCTACCTGAGCTGAATGACCCTTCTGAAATGTAAATCTCATCAGGTTCATCCTTCGCAATTGTCCCTGGTCAAACCTTTCAAAGAATCACAATTCTGTTTTTAAGTTAAATGGAATGTATACCTTCGATACATAAAGCTGGCACATTATTCTACAGCAGAAGGTAAGAGGGAGGCCCAGAGTGTTGTCTTCTCAGGTCTCCCATCCCAGGCAGCCCAAATAGTTTAAAATACCAAAGGATTTGTAGCATTTTAAAATGTGACTCAAAAAATTTAGGGTCCCTCCATGTGTTGATAGGAGAATGATGCTGGAAAAGGAAGGAAATTAAAATGTATTTCCAATCTACTATCTGTCAAAAATTATCTGCATTATCACAGTAAAATAGCTCTATGTGTTTCTTATTTTTAATCTCCTTTTACAGATTTAAAAGAAAAAAAAGGCTCAAAAAATATCGAATAACATACTCATGGTTCAGATGCCAGTATCCTGACTCCAAGACCTATCTTCCAGACTCCATGATGTGTAAAGACATGGAGTTGATGCAGTAGACAATGGGGACAGGCATGGAAAGTGGCTAGAAGGGCAGCCACACAGAGTAGCTCATATTGCCCAGAGAAGTAGCTCTTGGAAGAGCTGATATCTGAACATCCCTGACAACAGGGTTCCGAGGAATATAATTTGGAAACCATTAATCTACAGGCTAAAGTACATATGCCAACAAGTAAAACTCTAATGTTCTGGGCCCTTCCTTCCTTTCTGTCTAGCTAATGTCCCAATACTATGCTCTTACCAAATATTATGTTCACTCTTTTTCCAGAAAAGATCATGCCCTACACATCTCCATGTCTCCACCTGTACTCTTCTTCTCTCTGTCTAGAATGCTAGCTCCCTGTCAGCCTTCTGACTGACTCCCACTCTGTTTCTGAGCTTCAATCTTTTTAAATCTGTAAAATGGGATTAACAATAAGAAACTCATAAAGTTGATGTATTCTGATAGTGCAAATAACATGTTTGATGGGTGGGAGATTGAGAATTAATTTTAATTCCCTGTCTTTTCCTCGTATTATCTCACTTGCATCCTAAGACAAAGAAATATCTTAATCTCTGAATTCACAAAACCCTGTACATAACCATCATTCAGTAAATAAATGTCTGTTATGTGATATTTGCAAAGTTACTATAAGAAAGGCATTTTTGAATAAATAATTTTCCTCATTGAACCAGTGATTCATTGATGTATTGGATCAATACAATAGAACAATGTTTTACAACCTTTAAAAATTATTTCTAATATTTTAGTGGGGGGCATGCAGGGAAAGAGCATAACGTTGCCTATCCCGGCTGATCTGGGCTTTAGGAGCTCACATTCACAGCTAGGAGAGATACAATTAGGTGAGTCACATACATACACACTGCTCTACTTAGGGCATAACAAGACAAGAAGTCAAGTAAGTAATTTCCTCTGTCAAGTGATATTGACTAAGTAGACTAAATGGAGTTGCTACCTCATAGTGTGACTTACCTTCAGATATTCCACATCCTCAGATACACACCAGTGATCTCCTCTTTGTTGAGTTCACTCCCACTCTGACTCCCAGATAAAATAACATTAGGGAAAAGCAAAAACCAAGAAAGGTGGCACTTGGGCTGAGTGTTAGTTCCTTGGGGTTCTGATGCTCATAAATGCAAATATGGACTCGATTATGCACTGAGATGATCTGGTTCAGTATCCACTGAAACCCAGAGGCAGCAGCAGAGGGGAGCCAGAGCCCTGGCTCCACTGCAAAGTTCTTGAGGCTGGTCAGTATGGATGACTCCATCTACTGCATGTGGTTGCCTCTGGCCTGGCCTCCTGAACTACTCTCTCTCAAGATGTAAAAGGAGAGAGACCTTTGTTTCAACCACAAATAACTCATTAATTCAGAAATATTTTTTGAGCACTTACAAGATGTTAAGCACTGTGCAGGTGCTGAGGAACATGGAGATTTCATTGTATCTAGGATGAGTGATAATGAAAAATAAATACAAGAATGGTGTTATAGGAATATGGGACACCATGACAGCATTTCACAAGAAAAATTAATATAACCAAGGCTGAACATACAAGGATCCAGAGCAAGGTAGCAAGGACAAGCATTGGGCAAGCATTAGAAAAGAGGCTGTTTCTCTTCTAACACGGAGATGATAAAGAATGATTGCAGGCATAAGTAAGTAGAAGTGCCTTACATTTGACAGCTACACTCTGCCCCTTGGAGTAGAGAGCAGTATCATCTATATAGAAGCAAAAAGAGTATTTGGAAGGTTCCAGAGAAGAGAAAGGGCATGGTGTGTGTGTGTGTGTGTGTGTGTGTGTGTGTGTGTGTGTGTTGAGCACAGAAAAAAAAAATATGGAATCACCAAGCAGTGTTTGGGCTCAGCCTGAGTGAATGGTCATGATCTTATCATGCTGCCAAGCTGCCAAAATGCTTTTTTTAATTTTGTTTTCATTTTTATAGCAACTAGGCATAACAGGGAGGAGTTAGCCATGGTTAGGGTTTTGTTAATTAAGTGCATTAATAAGACAAAGGAGCAAGAAAGTTTATTATATTGATTAAAAAAAAGTAGTTGAAATTATAAACTAAGCAAAATGGGTGGGAAGTGGCTTGAAGAAGGGATCCGGTGGGCAGAGAGGTAGTAGATTCCAGTGGACATGGCCAAGAAGGTTGAAAAGAAGGGATTAAGGTCAAAGAAAGGGGTGCCTGGCTTCCAGTTCAGACACTGTACCAACTTTGAGCAGTCCTCTGTTCTCTCTGGCACTCAGTTCCTCATTTATGTGTAGAGTGTAGATATTGGGTTGAAATCCTTTCCATCTGGGCCTTTCTATGATGCTACATTGTTAGTCAATGTCTTATGCACTCTGGGATCTGAATCAGTACTGATCCAGGGGTACTTAGATTATTGATTCCAACTTGTTATAGAGCCTACATAAACTCCCATCAATGTCCTGTGTTGATCCAACATTTGTGGCCTTAGATTTTCATCTAAAGCTTGCATTGGATTCCTGGGGAATCCCTAAGTTCAGTCCCCAACCATACCCATTGTAAATTCCCTTGTAGATCATGAGCTTCTTATCTTTATGGAAATAATTCTAAGTTTTACAGAGGGAAGGGATGTTCTGGGAAGATATTCATGAAGATCCAGTGGTGACCCAGTATGACAAAGTGGCAGAATGACAGAGCCACAAGAATGTGGGAAGTTGCTATCATAACTACCTGGTTGGGAAGAGCTTTCACATCATCATGGCTCATTCACTTGATTTAGGTGTAGGATGTGTATAAAAGGCCTCCTCACTTTGCTTGACCTATCCATTGCCTTCCTGACTTTGAGAAAACAAGGTAAGTGTCCTTACTGATCTGATGGCAGTTTGGGGATCACTGGGATTGCCACAACTCAGCCGAATGGGACAAACCACTCCAGGTTGGAGAGAACGGAAACTGGTAATTGTGGAAAGATCAGGTTCATGGAAATCATCAGGTGGCTCAGAAGTAGCAATCCCAGAAGGGATGAATGCTAACTGAGATTAGGGTTGGGGTGAGGGAAGCTAGTTTGTAAGACAAGAGATACCTACACAGGGCTGAAATAGAACTGAAGACAGAGCCCATGATGTAAGAAAGAAAGAAAAAAAAAAGGAGGTGAAAAAGACAAGTGGTGTAACCACGGACTCAGGCTAACCAGGTGGTTTATAGAATGCATAAATGATAGCATGTCACAAAAATAATTTAAAGCTTTAGAAACTACCCAACTTGCTGCCTTGGAAGTCAGGAGTCTTGAAAGAACCAGGACAGGTTAAGAGAAGGTGTTATCAAATTAGAATTGGCCCCTGCCTGATTTCTCCTATGCCAGGAACGTAGGGCTTCTCCATTGTAAAGATATGGATCCTGGAGCTATAGGATCAGTTATAGAACTCAGACTCTGGAGAAAAATAGTGATATAAATAAAGTTTATAGTCACTGAATTTTCAAAATATCTGCATTGTTTTTTAGAGTAACTGAACTTTTGCCAAGATGTCCTGCCAGCAAAACCAGCAGAAGTGCCAGCTACCTGCCAAGTGCCTCCCCAAGTGTCCACCCAAGCGTCCACCTCAGGCCCTGCAGGCCCCACAGGTGCCACAGGCCTCAGCTCCATGTCCAGCTCCCTGCCCAGCCCCCTGCCCCCCACCTGCCCCCTCCTGCTGTGTCCCCAGTTGCTGTATCACTGGCTTCAGAGGCTGCTGCTCTCTAGGGTCTCACGGGTTTCCAGGAGTCTGTCTAGGCCAGCCCCAGCCTTCCAACTGCTGGGAGAGGGAGCCTTCTGGGTGTTCCAGTTTTTGCCATAGATTTGGGGGCTGCAGCTGACCTGAAGGTTTTGAGGAGCTAAAGATCCATAGCCAAGGATGAGCCTGGAGTTGACAACTTTCTTTACTCTCACACTATTCTCCATTCTCCTCCTGAACTAAGCTGCCTAGATGTATACCTAGGATTCCTCTTTTTGCTGAGAACCTCAGACCACTTAGCCTTAGCTTTGGTTCTATATCAAGAAGACCTGAATGCTACAGAAAACTCTGCTTCTCAAAGCTTTGTCAACATGCAAAAATAAAGCCTATCTTCCCTACACTCTGAGCTTCTTGGTGTTTGTTGATGCCTCCATCCTCAGCTCTGGGGAGCTCCCATTAACCTGGATTCTTTTTTTTTTTAAGATTTTTAATTTATTTATTAGAGATACAGAGAGAGTGAGAGAGAGAGAGAAGCAGGCTCCATGCTGGGAGCCTGATGTGGGACTCGAGCCCGGGTCTCCAGGATCACACCCTGGGCTGAAGGTGGCGCTAAACTGCTAAGCCACCAGGGCTGCCCTAACCTGGATTCTTCAAATAGAACCCACAGAGAGCCAGCCAGATGGGAAGTTCCCACCAAGGGAGGTCCTAGACCTGAGCCATTTGAGAGGAAAGATCCAGAGGAGAGTAATGGGGTACTCCCAAAACATCAGTGACCCTGTTCCACTGCTGCTGCTGCTACCATCTATACTCTGCTCCCCAGCCCTGAAATTTAGCCTCCAGATCTTTCTGACTTGAGAGAATCCCATACTCAAGAAAGAAATGGGTACTTGTCATTTTCGGATCTTAGTTCAAAAAGCCACAACAAATATTCTCCTTGAGCATATCTCACGACTTCTATTTACACAGGAGCCAGAGTCTAGCCAGTGACCCAGTTAGCACAATTCTCTTGACAGACTTTTAATATCTACCCTTTGTGGTTTCTTTTCTCCTTGTACTCAATGGAGCAAATGGCAATGTGCTCAGAAGCAAGTTCTTAAAGCTCTGTCTTTTCTAACCCAACAGTGGGCCATAGGCAACAGCAATGCTTGTGCTCATCCTCCAAGCCTAGGGTTCTTAGCCACAGGATCAAGACACTGGTGTCTTGCAACCAGTGGGAGACAAGGGATGGAACCCTTGTCCATGGTCTGTACCCCAGAAGTCACATATACCCCAGACCTTAGATCAACCAAGCCACAGCTATGTGAACAACTGGGCTCATGTGGTTGAGTGAGTCTCACACGTGAATGGAATCTGCTTAGTGTGCTTTAGCAGAAGAGATCGAAGGCCCTTGCTCTCACATCAAAATAAATTATTAAAAGTCATGGCTGGCCAGGGGCATCCATGTCACTGAGAGCTTTGGGTTTTAGCATAAAGTTGGACCTGATCACCTTCTTTTATATTCCAATCAACCCTCAGTCTAAGGGAGAAAGTTGTTTGATCAGTAGTTTTCAACCTCTGACAAAGGCAGCAGTAGGCTTCTAGAGAGGTATTTCAGAGCTTCTTGAGCAGTCTTTGAGAGGGAAACTGTGTGTGTGTGTGTGTGTGTATTTATTTATTTTAAATGCTGTGATAATATTCAGCATGATTACTTAGAAGTGTTAAATAACCAGTGATAAATGGTAACACCTTGGAGTTCATCAGGCTTTCCAGGCAATCTGGGCCATTAACACAACTAACAAATGTCAGAGCAAAAATGTTGTAATAAATTAGTATGCTTTTAAGGTCTTGGTCATATTTATTGATTTAAGGGGAAATTTTCCCCCCAACATTCTAACTTTATTTTTTGAAATAACATCCTCCATCTCAAACTCACTTCTTACCTCTAGAGGAAGAGCAAGTGATCTGATAGGTGAGATGGTGAGACCTTTACCATTATATGTGTGCTTTTCTGCTGTGCTCACTCTTGGTAGCTGGGGGAGTGTCTCTGTGAGCAAGTTCTGTCCCAATCCAGGTCCCAAGGCTTAGACTTTGGAATAAATGTTATGGCTTCCATTTTGACATGATACGAGTCACATTCTTCAATGCTTTACCAATCCCCTGTTTTACACGGATGTCTCTCTCAATTTATTCAGAGTTTGGAGAAGGAAGGAATGTGATTAATTAACCCTCTCAAAAATTAAGAAGAGTAAAACTCTGTGTTGTATCCACCCTAATCTTTTATATACTATATTTAGTTGCACACAATTTTACTCACATAAAATTGTACTACATCTCATTGCATTAAATGTGATACCAAGTAAGTCCAAGTGCATCAATGTCTTATGGTAAATTATTTTAATAGCTAGTAAACAAGTCATATGCCATATATAATAATATAATGCTAAAGCTAATCTTAGCACTATATAAGTTTTCTTATCTGACTTTATAAATGCTTATTTTACATAAAGATAAAATAGTATTACAAATGGATCACTGATTAAACGGAGAAAAATTTAAAAGAATAATTACTGCTATAATTAATAATTACTGCTGTACCCAATAGAATGTTAAGACTTAAAATAGGACAAGTTATAGTACTAGTACTGGGTGATTTTCAAATAGCAATAACCATATTAATTATAGTATACAAAATTAATGCCATGTATGTAAAATTTGACCTTAATCTACCCTACGATAGTATATTATAATTATGTTTCTTATCATCAGGATGCACCTTTTACAGTGATTAAGAGTAGGTTAAATGTCTGACATATTTTGTGCTGTAAAATTTCACAAGATAGATTATGCCAGCTACTTAAAATATAATTTTGCTATAAAATATAACATGTATTTACGTGAAATAGTTAATGCTGATTTTAAAAGTACATATAAATTTAAATATGGCAATGAAAATGTATTTATATTATATCAAAAGTGAGTTTCCACATTTAACATGAGAGAAAAACATATACCACTACAGAAGATCTTGTTAAAGTCACATGCAATTGACACTGTAAGTAAGATATTTTATGACTGACTGATTTAGAAATTCAGTTGGATCATTTATTTACTCATTAAGAAGTTCCAGTATGGGCAGCATGTGTGGCTCAGTGGTTTAGTGCTGCCTTCAGCCCAAGGCGTGATCTTGGAGACCCGGGATCGAGTCTCATGTTGGGCTCCCTGCATGGAGCCTGCTTCTCCCTCTGTCTGTGTCTCTGTCTCTTTCTCTGTCTCTCATGAATAAATAAATAAAAATCTTTAAAAAAGTTCCAGTGTGACATCAGCCATTGAATTATCCTAAAGTTTGAGATCATAAGATATTTACAACAAAGCTCAACAGGAGTACAGCTGTTGAGAATCTTTTCATTCTGCTTATTTTGCTACAGTATGATTAGGCAAGTAAATATAAAGATGATTGACACATATTCAACAGAAGAAAACAACTTTATATTATATTGAGATCAAATTTTTAGCACATTGTTAAATACATAGGAAAAATGTGATGTTCATACTTATATTGCAAAAGTAAAGGCAGAAAAAAATTATATGTGCTTTGTATAGACATTATTGTTAATATATGTTGAAGTAATTGTGTGTCACATGAAAAATAAATGGATTTAATAAAATGCTGACACATTGTAAAACAAGATCTGGCAAGATCATTCAAAAAATTGGCTTTATCTTGCAAATTTTCTTTTCTTTTTTTTATAAATTTATTTTTTATTGGTGTTCAATTTGCCAACATACAGAATAACACCCAGTGCTCATCCCATCAAGTGCCCCCCTCAGTGCCCGTCATCCATTTATCCCCACCCCCCACCCACCTCCCCTTCTACCACCCCTAGTTTGTTTCCCAGAGTTAGGAGTTTTTATGTTCTGTCTCCCTTTCTGATATTTCCCACTCATTTTTCTCCTTTCCCCTTTATTCCCTTTCACTATTTTTATATTCCCAAAATGAATGAGAACATACACTGTTTGTCCTTCTCCAATTGACTTACTTCACTCAGCATAATATCCTCCAGTTCCATCCATGTCGAAGCAAATGGTGTGTATTTGTCACTTCTAATGGCTGAGTAATATTCCATTTATACATAGATCACATCTTCTTTATCCATTCATCTTTTGATGGACACCGAGGCTCCCTCCACAGCTTGGCTATTGTGGACACTGCTGTGGACACTGCTGTGGACACATCGGGGCGCAGGTGTCCTGGCGTTTCAATACATCTATAGCTTTGGAATAAATCCCCAGCAGTGCAACCGCTGGGTTGTAGGGCAGGTCTATTTTTAACTCTTTGAGGAACCTCCACACAGTTTTCCAGAGTGGTTGCACCAGTTCACATTCCCACCAACAGTGCAAGAGGGTTCTCCTTTCTCCACATCCTCTCCAACATGTGTGGTTTCCTGCCTTGTTAATTTTCCCCATTCTCACTGGTGTGAGGTGGTATCTCATTGTGGTTTTGATTTGTATTTCCCTGATGTAACTCACAAATTTTCAATAGTATTTATATGAAATGAGAAGAAATAACATTTACTTTTTTATACCACATATCATTTTGCCAATACAGAGGCAACATCCTGGTGTAGATATTTCAAATGCAATAAGAAATGGCCATTTTGTTTGTTAATAAACATAAACATCATTATAGTTGGCAAAGTTCTCATGAGCCTGTAATAGTTGTATCAGATGCCAAAATTTTCTTATTAGCTCAAGAAAGTATAAAGCTCAGCACATACATTATTGCAACATCACTATTGTTTTTTTGTTGGGGGGGGATTGTTTTTTTTTTTTTTTTTTTGCAACATCACTATGTTTGAAACAGTAAATCAGGTACAAACAATGAAATGAATGTGTTTTTTCCCCAAAATTTATAGTGCAATTAATAGCATTGCATTAGTTTCAGGTATAAGGTATAAAATATAATGATTCAACGCTTTCATATATTACACAGTGCTCATCAAGATAAGTGTAGTCTTAGTGAAATGAAAGCTTTTGACTTAACATAGAAAAAAGGAAATTCAACCTTTTTAGCATTGAATTCTAGTAATTCATTAAATGAATATTTATTAAGCACCTACTGCATGCTAGGCATTAGTCCAGAGTTTGAGGATATAGCTGTAAATAGAAAGAAAACAGTCTCTGCTATCAGGGAGCCCAGAGTCTAGTGGCAGAAGCAGACAACAGCTGCATACTGGTTAAATATATAGTATATTACACGCTACCAAATGGTGTGGAGGAGGAATAAAGGAAGGTCGGGGGCATGTAGAATTCTGAGGGAGGCCTGACCACAGGGTGGTCAGGGAATGCCTGTGTAATAAAGCTTTCTTTTCAGGAAGTGAAGAAGTGAGTGAGTCACATAAACATCTATAGTAATAGCATTTT